GCAGAGGATGAAGGGGAAAGGTGGAAGGAGCTTGGGAATGTGGGGTTCAAGACTTTGAGATGATAGAAATGTTGCTTATCTCAAGGCCATTCTCCCCAAGTGCTCAGACAGGGATTGAGAATAGCCAAGATGCACAGGTGTTGGGTGGGGGCATGGGAGAGGAGCTGGTGCTGTTGGGAAAGGAAGGAACACCAGTTAGAGGTTAGGCGTATGGAAGATTAGGCATATGAAGGTTAGGCGTATGGAAAGGATTTTTTTTTGTTACATTTGATTTAATATTGTAAGGAATATGTGCAGAAGACCTTGAACATGCCCATTACTGGAAATCAAAAGCTGGTCAAGTGTGTGTCCATGAAAGTGGCCTAAATGATTGTTCAGCATAATGCAGCAATGATATATAGGTGTATTTGGAATTATTGAACCTGGAATACATTTGTTTTTGGTCTCAGTGGGAACATAAACATTGCTGAGCCCTTCTCTTTGAAGCTTCTTTTTGGAACCTTCTCATAGGCAGTGGGGTGGTCAGAGGTTTTTGGTCTTTTCTCCAATTGATTCAGATGCCTATTAGCAGTTTCAGTGTATAAGCACCATATCTGATTCTCCTGTTGGTTAAAGATGATTTGTGCCTTTGCTGTTATGATTTGATGATGCTGTTAAGCTTGTGTATCACAGTGGCTCTCACTGTGAGGTGCTTCAAATAATATAGGCCAAATTCAAACAGTTGCTTTTAATTAATAAAGGTTCTTGATCAAGGAAATGGTCCACCTTGGCTTCATATTTTGTTATGTCAAATCGCCACAGGAATGGCTTAATGTTTTTAGGTGGTTAGTTGTGTGCCTTTTGGTTAGGCTGGCACTACAATAACCAAAGACATAGTTGCTGGGCAAGAAGAAAGGCTTTAATCTCCCCATCCCCTTATTAGGATTGCTGGAGGTAAGAAGGTTAAAGCCTCTTAGCTCCCCTTCTTGTTGACAGTGATTTTGCTCAGGATAGCAGGAGGAAAATAGAACATGAGAGGAAAGCCTTCCCTATGTGGCCTGTTTTACAGCAGGAACAGGTGCCTGCTAAATAGCTGTTGGGCAGGATGGTGAAAACATGCAAGGAGACCTCTCTCCACATGTCCTGTTTCACAGCAGAACTGGCAGCGTGCATGAGGAGAATGGGAGTAGGCCATCTGTGGCAGGCCACTGTTGACCTGTGGGCTACCAGTTGCCCACCCCTGCTCTGTGTTCACTTTAATTTTGCCTCTTCTGTCTTTTGCTCCCTTTGGGCAGTTCCTGCCAAAGAAATGCACAATTTTTGAGTGTTGATGCTGGATGCAGGCTAAATTGTAATCAGATGTATACCTATGCTCTTTTACCCTCTAATTTCTTTTGCAGAATGTGGATGTTTTCAGTCTATTCCAGTCTGGTGCATGCACAGCATTTCAGTGTGGTTCTTGCCATTACTCTAGAACAAGGTTCATATTGGCGTTTTGTTCTTGAGCCAAAGTACTGCATGTGCACATGATTATTTTAGCCAAACATGGTATGACTGGTTTCAGAGTTACGACCTGCCTATCCCCCACTGCCTCTCCTGCCACCCCTGTTTGCACAATCATGACAACAATGTGCTGTATTAATGGACCTGACAGTTTATACGGGTTATGAAACAAGAATGAATACACCACCTATCGTCTGCAGGGGCACAAATCCAGACAGTGTTTACAAAAATAGCCATCATTTTGAGACATAAACCAAAACAGTGCAGCATTTTTAACAAGAGGCCTATATATATACACCGTACACCATTCTGAGAGCATTGTGCTAATCAAACACTATAGAAATGCTTTAGATATAAATAAAATAAAATGAAATTTGATGAATTGTGTGAGTTTTGATCAACAAACATATGTAGTTTAAATAAATCAGGAAAAAAATGTTGCACTTTTCAGGGTCATGCTTTAGCCTTTTGGTGTGCATATGCCTGGCAATTGACTTCATCTTGGAAACGTCACTCCCTCCTGTGCAAGAGAGGAGGGAATACATCTTCTAAGGTGACACCTGCCACTCATATATTGTAAAAGTGCTTATTTTAAAAATAATCGAAAATATTATCATTGCCTGAAAGGTTCTTGATCAGATGGATTCCCTAGGTGTCAGTACTTTAGACCCCGTATAACATGTCCTAGTGTATCCTAGTGTGACACCTTTAAGCTGTTGAGGCAGATCTCTTCAGTCCAGACAGTGAGTTTCAGGACACTGAGACCACAGAAAACCATTCTCCCTGTCCATCTTGCTTTCTTTAGCAAGGGACTGTACTGTGTTCTTTCCTTGGAGGTTTTCTGGGGTTACAAAGAATGATATATACAGAAATAAAATGCACCACAATTCAAAAATCCCAGGCATTTAAAAATAATTGTGTTGCTGGTATTGTGGGTGTTTGTTTATTAATTATATTTATATCTTGCTTAAATATAATAAAATCCCTAAGCAGTTCACATGCAAAATGTACGAAGTTTCAAAGGTCCTAGGATAGAGAGCTTGAATTGCAGGAATGGGGAATCTTTCAGATGATGATAAACTCTAGCTCCCATCATGCCAGATCATTTGTTACGTTGGTATGGCTGATGGGAGTTGGAGGGCTACAGGTTGCTGTAGAGCAAATCCATTGAAATCAATGGGTCTACTCAAAATAAGACTAGGTTTGGATCTGGCCCGGTATTTCATCCTTTCTTGGTCTGGAGACATGTAGCTATACTCTTTACACTAACCATAGCCTGTGGGCTATCTTGAGTATGCTATAATAGTTGGTCTGAAATGTTCCACAAAGATGTGGAGTAGGTGTAGGATACAAAAGCATTTATCAGTAGATTTGTATACTCACCTGCCAAATGCTGTTGGGACAGTTTAAAATGGTAACAGCAAACAACAGGAAAATATGATTAACTAGCGTCATTAGACAGTTTGTAACTTATGAATGCAGAGGTGACATCCTTTGGCCTATGAATCCTCTGCTTCCTGGTAAAACAAGTGGCCAACTAGGGTAGTGAGACATTGTTGGGCTAGCTGGATTTTGTATTTGCTCTTATTGTGACAAATAACATGTGCAAACACTGAATTTAAATAGCCAGGCATCTTCATGTAGACTGTGCTTGCAAGCCTATGCATGAATTTGCTCAAGTGAATTTGTGTGAAAGAAGCAGGTGTCCAGATGAATAAAACAAGCCTCCCTTCTGACTGACCTTGGCACTATGAAACTTGGCGTGCAACTGTCCATATTGCCTCCTTGCATTCCATCTCCCTAAAAAACCAAGAGAGTTTCTTTACAGTGAAAAAGCTTGGTTGTCTTTGGATAAGCTAGATCTGTTATCAGTGTGGGAATTTCCCAGCACAATTGAGAGAAAAGCACACAGTGGTAATCTTGCTCTCTGCGCTGTTTCTGGCAGAGCAGCAGCACCCTACTTGTTTGCTGGGTTCTACCTTGCTCTTGCCTTTACTCTAGCTCAGGATTCCTCAATTTTTTTGAATAGGGGGCCAGTTGAAAGGTGCCAGGGATAGGTGCAGGATGCCAAGGCGGTGCGGGCAGGGGGCGCGGGCCGGGGGCTGCAGGCATGTGCTCAAGCAGCAAGGCAGGGCCATGCGTGCACAGAGATAATTTTCTTCCAACAAGTCCAAAACGATCTCCTTGTGAGCAAGCTGCTTACTCACAAGATCGTTTTGGTCTCACTCGGAGAAAAGGATTTCCCGGCAAGGTGCTGGCTTGCTTGCAAGGAGATCCTTTTCTCTCCGAGTGAGTCCTAAATGATCTCCTTGCGAGCAAGCTGGCATCTAGCCACACACACATGCATGGCGAGCTATGGTGGGTCGGATAAATGGGCATGGTGGGTCGGATCCAGCCTGTGGGCTGTAGTTTGAGGACCCATGCTCTAGCTGGTTTCTGACTGCAAATTGTTGGAAGGTGTAACTTTGTTTCCTGCCAACTGTTTGTTGAGTAATGGTCTGACTTCCTCAAGCTGGGGGCAAAAGTATGCATCTTTGCTTTCTGAGTGGCTGTTTCACAATGCTTTCATCTCAGAAGTAGCAGTAGGTTAAGCTCATTAGTCATGTTAGTCATTGTTATTCAACATTGCTGTTTTATCCAATCGTCAGTTTCTCCCCTTTTAATGCTTGAGAATATAAACTTAGCTTATCAACTACAAACATAGTGTATAAAAGTTGGACTCCATTGCCAGCTTGGAGAGGAACAGAATCTAATGTTTTCTTAAGAATAGGCTTTGATATTTGGAGCAGATATTTGGAGCATGTGTCTTCAGTCTACAGGGCAGTATGTTTTGCCACAAGGAAGCTGTAGCATGCAGAACTGAGATGGCTAAAGATTCCACATTTAAGATTAAGTTCTATGGGAAGTTTGAAATTGGGTTAAAAACTGCATGGAATGGGAGGATGGAAAGGTTTAGGGATAGAGAAACATTCGCTTTCAAAAATTGTTGGGCTTGAAATTTCAGTTAGCCCCAGCCAGCATTACCAGTAGTTAGGGATTCTGGGTAGTCCAACAACGTCTGGAGTGCCCCCATTTCTGTTCTAGAGATTAGTGGACAGATGGACAGGGCTCAAGGAGTAATAGCTATGGTGGAGAACAAGGAGACACAGAAGGTACTGCAGCCCTTCCTTCTGTTCAGTAGAACCCCTTCTGAGAACTCATCAGGGTTGAAGGCCTATACATCATTGTGTGTAGGAGTCATAAGGGCTAGAAATTTTCTGCCTTGAACGAATGTTTATGTAGGCAGGCTAGGGTGCCAAATTATGCAGCCGCAATACCATATTGCTCTAATGCAGGTGTAGTTAGAGGGATTCACAGATGATGGAACATGGTAGAAACCCAGCGCTCTGAAGACTTCCTGTTATTTTCTCTTGTGTGCTTTCTCCCACATTGTGACCAGTGTGTGTTTCAGTTTATTTTGAGAAGTAAGCCTTTGGTGTCCGTGTTATGAGCCTTCAGTTTTTCTCTTGTTCTTCCAGTATTCATCCCATGGTGTCTTCTTCCCTGGCTCAACAACATGACAGAAGGCTGGGTAGATTGCCCCTCCCTGGGTCCTGGCTGGCAGCGCCGTGAAGTCTTGCGCAAAAATGGAATGAGACCTGGACAGTCAGACACCTATTACATAAGGTAATGTTGTTTGGACACACTACTGGAAGGGTGCAGGTTCTCTAAGAGTGGCCCCTTTATCCCATGGAGTTTTATCCATGGGCAAAGGGGTATCTATCTCTTTCTGGCAACTTGTCTAGTAGCTCTGAATAGAAAGGACATGCAAGATTTAGTGACTGTCGAAAGGCTATTATTCTTGCTTTAGTTGGTTCACAGAGCTTCTGGAGATCCACTTTTTAATTGCTTTTTGTACTTAACATTATCTTGCTTATTCAAGAAATGTAGTTTCCATTATCCAAACATTTGTTTCCTCCACTCTTAAGGTGCACCTGATGTTAATTATTACTGTATATTATTATCCTTGTTTGCCTTCCATCCTTCAAAATGGTGTGTCAGATTATTTGTGAGATTTCCAGATGGGGCTTGTCTCTTTGGAGAGCTATGCACATTACTTACTTAATTAATTAATTAATTGGTGTTGATGTGGTGTAGAGGCCAAGGGCCTGAGTTCTGAATGGCCTGACTCTAATCTCTCCTTGGCTTAGAAAGCATTAGGGTTAGGGTTACCCTTAGAATATCCACTTTTGCCAGCTCAGTCATCTCCTCCTATTCTAATCTGTAATACAGTGTTGTTTTAAGTATTACTGAGAGAATGTATGGAAACATTCAGGAAAAAGTGCAATATGCATGCTAAGTACAAGTTGCAGATTATATTTATATTCTACCATGTGGCTACTATTGTGGCTTACCAGTAAAAAAATAAATAGTTGGACATACATTGGCATGCATGGTGAGCAGTCTTTTCTAGCCCTTGCGGTGCAGGTTTCTGGGAAGAAGGAACAATAAATAGACTTCAGGAGCTTGCTGATGATAAAGAAGCAGTCCTCCAGTTCATTATTACCCTTTTTGGGTGAAACAGATAAATGCAGACCATTCTTTCTAAGCAAGTGGAATGTAGTAGTTCTGTTGCTGTTTGTTTTGATTATCAGCTTAGATGTTTTTGGCTGGAAAGCTGAGATTGAGTAGAAAGGTTGCAGTCTTTTTATTATGTAGTCTGGGCATTGTGAACTACAAGGGGTTGCCTTCTTAAAGGCTGTGGGAGTGGGCAATGGGAAGTAACTGGGTGGGGTTAGCAGATAATCCTTGCATCCTGCAACAGGGTAGGATTAGCAGCTGACTCTTAGTGATGCTTGGATCCTGGGGAAGAAACTGGGAAGTTTGGTTATTACTTTCCAAGAATTTGCACATCTTGCTTCCTGCAGCAGTACAGTTTTGGAACTATATCTACCAGCAGTTAACCTTTGTTTTCCTCATACTTGGCATCCATGCCAGTTTCAGTCAAAATCTAAGAAATCATAGCTGAAACTGTAAAGCTCTTTCCTTTCCACTAGGCAGTTTTTGAATTCCTACATCTTTCCATTCTGTTGCTGAGACCAGGTAGTCTTGTGTGGGTTGCGATACAGAAATATTTTGGCTTACTTGGACCTGAGGGGGAGCGCCTCAATTCATTTGGGCTTTTGAAAAAGCATCTAACAGCTGCTTCTCTTCTTCTCATAGCCCCAGAGGAGAGAAGATCCGCAGCAGAGTGGAGTTGACAAGGTTGCTGGGATGTTCACGGGATCTGACTGACTTTGATTTCAAGAAAGGGATTTTTGTTGAGCCAAATGCCGAGGTACTGATCCAAATAGCATTGGCTGTGATGGCAGGAGTAGCTTTTTACAATGAGCTGGTTGCTGTGATGTCTGTTCACATTTGTATTTGCATTTGCACTATTTGAGCTATGCCTCCCATACTCCCTCCAGTGGAAAACCGGGGTTCAAGCCTTGATATCTTACATTTCTTCCAAGTTGGTGCACCTGCTTCTCCTTCACCCCTTCCCTATTTCATCCTCACAACAAATCTGTGATGCAGGCTAGACTGAGAGATGCTCACCCCATGAGCTTTCTGTGCTTGGATAAGATTGCCCTTTTCCATGTGCACCTTCTGGGCTGGTGCACTGATGGTGTAGCCCAGCCTAGTTTATACTTGATCCTTTTGCTGGCTGGCATAGGATTACAGGTGGTCCATTGGCTTACCAATGCATGACCCAAGTGCAGAGTTAACCAATGACTAGCTAGACCACAGTCCTGCTAGAAGTTGGAACCTTAACTGTTTCATTCTCTGACTGCTTTGTCCTGTTGCAGCCCCCAGGCCCACCACCCATTCCACCTACTGGAGGAGGCCACCAGAAGGTGAGTGAGCACAGCCTGCTTGAGCCAGAACTATGTAACATCTGAGTTGGCTGTGGAATAGCATCTGGAAGACTGTATTGGGATGTGGGAAGAAAGTCATTGGCAAGTGTTTTTGTCTTTTTTGCTGCTGGGGGTTTATCTTGTGTAGCTGGGAAGAAGTTTCCGGGTGTAAGCATCTTTGGAATGGGGAATCCTTGGTGGCATACTTTTGAAACTTTTAAGGCAGGGTTTTGGCAGATGTTCTTGGGGCAGCCTTTCAAAGCTGAGGCCAAATGGATTTTGCTCAGTGGCAAGGTAGGCACATTCTTAAGGTAACTTGGCATGCATCAGTTGCCTTGTGTTAAGGTTGTAGTTAAAATGCATCAGCAAGCTAGAAACATCTCTCCTTTTCCATATGTAGTTATTGGCAAACTGAATATTCTAATCTGTATTCTTGAGTATGGAGTATCAGTAGCCTTTCCAGGTTTCAAGGTATAAGATGATATCCTTGTGCTTGGTTTCAAGAATAAGAGAGAATAAAGGCAGCTTGCCCTTAGCCTGGGTGAAGCAGAGCTGAAGCAAAGAGACAGGAGAAATGCCTAATTGGCCTGGCTTAAGTTCCTGGGGTTGTAATGCTAGAAAGGAGAATGTGTCTGGAAAGGAGAGATTGTTCTGTACGTGCTGCTCACTAGCATGTAGGGATGCTGGTAGGGCCTTCTGCATTTGGGGAAAGTAGGTCTTCTGGTCTAGCATTTGTCCAAGTGTTGCTTAGAAATGAAGCAAAAACATATATCTCCTCTAGCAGCTGTTCTGCCCACAGTATGCAGCAGGTTCTTGACTTAGTGATATCAGGAAATCTGTTGCTCAGTATTGTATAACATACATCATGTTGCTGACTGAACTCCCATGTTTCTCCCTCCCACAGCTCAAAAAGGGTAGCAAAAGGCGCTGTTCATCTCTGGCAGCTGCTACCCCACCATCCAAGAAGCCTCTTGGCTTGCAGGTGTTACAGGAACCTCCAAACCAGGAGCTTCCAGACCAGAAACCCCCAAAGCTGGATCTGGAGTTGCCAAAAGAGGCTCCTGCCAGCAATCTGACCCAGCAGCAAGAGCTCCCGACTCCTGCAGATCAGCCGGCGCCAAAACCTCGCAAGCGACATTATCGGAATCATCTTCCACCTGTCCTTGCTCCAGGAAAAATGGGAGATCTGGCAGTGCAAGAAACCAAGCCAGAGGAAGATATAGCGTGAGCATCTTCCTTGCCGCTTTCCCACTTATGGTAGTGGATAGTTGCACCCTCTCTACACCCTTAAATATAATGACAGAAAACTCAAATTACTGACACTTTAAATAAATCAAAATGACTCTGAAGGTGTAGAAGGTTGCAAAACATCTGAATTCTGATGGTTTTCTTTAAAAAATACACAAAATGATGGATTCTGATGGTTTTTTGTAATGAATACAGAAATTCGCTTTTGTCCTACTGCAAATGTGTTGGAGTTGTGCCAGAGTTCCTGTCTCAAGCCCCCAAGTCTCAAACAGCATATTTTTGCGGGGTATTTTGGTCCAGTACAGACTTGTAACATAGGCCACATCCCATATTTTTGTTTTGAAAATTATGCCACTGCCCAAACTGGGGAATTTCTACCCATGCCCCAAAATATCTAAGCAGTTTTTGTTTAACATAACATCTAGCCTGAAGAAAGGTTGTACAAAGTCTGCTGACTATGGAGAAACTTTTTGGCTAGTTCTAATAAAGGTGTTTTCCTGTTGATGTTTTTATTTTTTATTCCCAGAAATGGGTTGCCATGTCTGCAAACATTTCATCAACAGGTAACTTCACTTTAAAGCTATATTTTATTTTTCTTGGCCAGATTATTAAGGTGCTTTGTCTTCCTGCCTGTGCACAAGGAATTCTGAAACTAGAAGTTTTACATGTATGTCATAGACTACAAGTTCAAGGCTAGCTGGGCAACCCTGCCTGTTCTAGAGAGAGAGCTGGGCTAGCAGCTCAGTATTCACAATATTGCTTGTTTTGTTCTAGCTCTTTTGATTAGCTCTATGAAAGCTCACAAGATACAAACACATTCATAAATAGAGGGAAAGTTTTAACATACATAACTGCAGTCTAGTTTCATTTTTATCCTCATGATAATGGGTTGCAGCCTGGTCTGCTTTTCCCTACATGTATCACAGGACCATAGGAAAGCCTTCCCCACCCTTGTCCAACTCTCTTCCATTCAAGAATATTCTGCTGCACTCTTGAGTTTAAAAGGGCCTCTGTTGTACTTGGAAGTGCAACGTTATCTGCACTCATTTATTTACTTGTTTTCCACTAACTAGTCCAACAGGAATCTCTAAGCAGCATACAAATACAAAAAATAAATCTCTAATGTCTGTTGGCATCTTCCAGTTTTACTTCTGGCAATTTACACAATGTTTAGATCCTACATTTTCAAAATAAGGAGTGATAATTATTTTTGATTGTTTATTTTTTGTCCCAGCAGCCTCTAGTTTATTCTGAAATTAGTCTCTTGTAGGTAAAAATAATTCTATTTAGATCTGCCTTAATACCTTTTGCATGCCATCTTTAAGTCTCATACACACAGTGCACACACAATGGTTTATGTACCACCTTTCAGCAAGGCTTTCAGGGTGGTTTGCAAAGACATGATAAATGCTAGTAAAAACAGGAGGTTTAAAAACAAACATTCATTTTTTAAAATTCAGAAACCTTCCTCAGACTGATTTTCAGCAAAAGGGATGATAGTCTGGAGAATGGGGAAGAGAAAGCTAAACATGATACTGAAATCCCAAAGTCTGTGTTTTTAACAGGACACTTAGTGGGAGTGGGGGGAAATTAACATATGGAAGCAGCCTTTCTAGACTAGTCCAGCTTTCCTCAACCTGCTTTCCTCCAGATGTGTAGGGACTAGGGTGCCCATAATTTCCCAGCAGCTGTGATGGATGGAGATGATGGGAATTAATTCACTTCGCAGCAAAAACAGCATTCTGCATAGGCTTGCAGTTCATTTGGAAATTGTTTCTTCTAAGCTTGCCCTGCTTTGGTGGATCCTGGAATGAAGTATAAATTGTCCTGAAAGATTAGACTTTTTAAGTTCCCTCACTGGAGTAGCTCATTTTTTGAAATGTGTGTGATAAATTTGTCTGGGTAGTAATGATAACTGGGCCTGGTGGAATCTTCCTTGTACACTGCTTTGAAGGGCACCCTTTCCATCATGCAGGAGCTGTTAGGTTAGGCAAGAGCTGGGAAAACAGAAAGGCAGAGGGAAGCTTGGGTCAGAATTGAAGTTACTGCATACTCTCCTGCTTGCCTAGCTTAGCAGCTGCTTTTGCAGGGATAGCATTTCCATGTAAGTTGCTCTGGGAGCCTTTTCTCCTTTGACCATAGAGAATATTTCAAATTCTTTGGGAGTTGGCTTCTCCCCTGGCAGTAGGCAGGATTTAGAAACAGTCCAGTTGCTCCAGCACAGTAAGAGTCCATCCCTCCAGCCTCCCAGGGTGGCTTTTCCTAGTGGCAGCTATGCAGGGTTCTTACGTGTTGGCTGTGCACTTAAAAAAGAGCTTAAAGTGTGAGGACTTCCCATGATTTTCCCTTAATTTCACCTGCCGACAAATAGTCTGAGGAGGTGGGTAATTTAGAGATTGTGTCTTCTATCCCACAGGCCAGGCTTGCCATTTTGGTGAGCTTTCTCCCTCAGGCATATTTTGGTCTAGCACTTTGTTTCCCTTCCCTGTTGCTGATCTGAGCAAGCAACACAGCCCGTACTGCCTTCCATCACCACAGGGCAGAAAGGGAAATGCTGTTTCCAGCTGAGAAAGTTGCTGGAATTAGGGTGGCAACTAGGCAAATTTGCATTGGGAATACTGAGGTTTCTGGCACCATTTGGGGACAAAATATACTTCACCCACTCTTGATGGACAGTCCTCAACCAGTGACCTAACTATGGGAGTGAATTGTTGTTTTGTGCTGTTAAGTCGTCTTTGACTTATGATGACCACATGAGTGAAAGCCCTCCAAAATGTTCTATCCTTGACAGCCCTGGTCAGCTCTTGTAAACTCAAGGCTGTGGCTTCCTTTATGGAATCCATCCATCTCACAGTTAGTCTTCCTCTTCTTCTGCCTTTGATTTTCCCTAGCACCAAGAAATAGCGCCGAGGCCCCTTTTATCCTGTCCATACCTTTTCTTAACCTCAGTGGTGGTCCAAGCACACACCTTGAATTCTTCCAGTGGGTATGGAGGTTAGTGGCTACAGTAATAAAAGTGTTTTTATCAGAGTGCTTTGTTAGCCTTCCTGTTCTAGATTCCTACACAGGCACTCTTACAATCTTACAAAAACAAGACAAAACATAAATGTAGCAGGAGCTCTGGGCACAAGCATAATTGGAACCCTAGGTCTTGTTCTACCAGTGGCAGTTTTGTCAGCCCTTCTAAGGGAATGTTTGAGTATATATTTGCACACTTTGAGTCCAAACCCTGATGTTAGTGCCCATTTTCTAGTGAGAACCTTAACTAGGGTGTTCAAGGTTTAGTATGGGAAACTTTCTGACTGGTCATTAGTCATAGCATAGCTTCTTGTCCTGCTAGCTTCTGGTGCAATCATCTTCAAAGCAAGGGAAGACGTGCCTCCATTGTGAGCTAATTCCAGCTGTCTGGCCTCACTCCTAGTATCAGGGGTTGTTGGTGGGTATGTTGCCTCGTTGGTGCTGGCCAAGGGGTGAATGTCAAAGAAGGCCAGGGTTAGGGGCAGAAAATGCTCCCTGGGGCATCATAGACATCTATGGACACCATATGGTTACTTTTCCTGATACTGTATTTGAATGTGGTTCTAGTGTGAGAATTTTTTGTGAGATGCTTGGAGAACTGTTGGGGGCCAGAAAGCAAAATATACGTATTCTAGACAAGCCAACAAAATAAGCAACTTTACTGTAGTTAAAGACACTTTGTGATTGAAGGCTGGGAATATTATTCCAAACTCTCCATTTCTTCTCCTAGGTGCTGTGCCTGTTGCCAGGGTCAGTTCCCTGGAGTGATGCTTCCGTCCCAGAGACGCTGCCGATGGCTCTGTCCTGACTGCAGAGGTTAGTACTTGAGGTCACAAGGTTAGGCATGAGTTCTTCATTTCTGCCACACTCCTCATCCTGCCTTTTTTCTGTTGGATTCTCATACATTTGTTTGAGAGGGTTCTCTTTGAGGTATTTTTTATACAACAGAAAAAAGGAGGCTGTACAAATCCCCAAGCTGAAGGTAGCAAAGCACAAGTGTTCCTGGAGATCTATGTTGGCCTTTGCCAATCTGCAGCTCTCTAGATGTTTTGGGCTGGCAATTCCCATGAACCTAGTCAGCATGGCCAATGGTCAAAATTACTAGGCATTGTAGTCTAGAACATCTGAAAGTCATCAGACTGGGGAAGATTGATCTGTACTCTGTCTTCGCAGTTGAAAGCTATAGGATTACATTAGGTAAGAATGTTTCTGAGCTGAACTAATGTTCCTGCAACAGTCCCATGTGGTCCCTCCCTTGTCTTGGTTGGTTTTGTCATCCTTGGTCTCTGTTTCCCATTTCTTGATTAAACAAAGCCCCTAACCTTTGAAAACTTTGTGTAGTTACTTCCCTGTGCATTAAGGATCCATAAGCTATTGCCCAAACATATACAAGCTATCCTGATGCTATGAAAATTAAAGTTAAAATAAAAATTATGTTTCTTGAGAAGTTGAACTTCCTGCCAAAATTGGGCTTTGTGTTTATGTATTCTGCATGAGGCATATTGCATTACGCATAGTACTGCTTTTCTGCATTGTGAAGGAAAACACTTCTTTGCTTCTTTCCAAAAGCATAATTAAAATATCTTGGTGGGTTTCTTAAAACACAAATGGGAGCAATGTAGTGAAAATAGGTCTAACTTGGATAGATGACCAAATGCAGAACATAATAGTCTTGGGATTCTTGTTTTATTTTTATATCCTGTTTTTGAGCCAAGTTTGGTTCCCATGACTGTCAAAATCTGTTGAAAGTACAAATGTTAAGGAAATAATATGAAATGTATATTTGTAAAAGTTTAGTTTGCTTGCTACCATGTACTGAAGGAGGGCTAAATTTAATATTAGTTACCAGCTAGAAACTGGTTTTAAAAATAAGTGAAATATCAGGACCTCCACTCGCCTTGACAGCTTTGGAGTAGACAAGGGGGGGTCCTTCATTGTCAGTGGTATAATCTATTGTCATGCCCCACCTGTATGGCAAAATTTTTCCCAGTTTGTAAGAATCCAGCAGGATTCAGCTCAACATCCATGCCTCTTCTTGTGGGTAGCTACCTCTTTAAACGTCCATCTTGTCCATCTTGTCCCTTCTCTGGGCATGAAAAGCCTCAGAAAGCCATGTGAGCATAGTGGTGTGCTTATAGGTGCTCCATAGAACTCGTTGCACCTCTGGACTGATCCAGAAATGCATGGTTATGACCATTTTAGCATCAGTCAAGAATCTAGCACCTATTCTCTGGGTTTCTTGAGTCCCATGCAAGTGAGAATGTATCTGCAATAACTGAAAAACTTCTGATCCTTGTGAAACAGGCTCATCAGCAGTGCAGAATAGAGAGGCCAAGTGGTTGTTCTGGACTTGTGAGCATGGAGATCTCCCAGTTGTTGTCATGCAGTTCCAGATGGGGTCACTGCTGGTAGTGTAAAAGTCATTACAGACAGGACAATACTCTTTGCTCATGTTTTCCCATGCCTTGGAAGAGAAGGAAGGCATTGCAGGTATCCTTAGACTACTCCTAGTGTCATCTTTGCTAAGGAGGAATCGTAGCTCAAGGCCTTTGAGGGCACTGTGCATTCATGATGCTCAGTTGTTGAGCAACAGAAAGCAGTTCTGTTGAATGATGGTAACACTTGGTAGAAAAATACTTTGGAGTTGTTCAGAAACAGCCTGGAGAGCATATGAAACTAATTTGGGGACTGCACAGTTAGAGAGGGAAATTTCTTCAAGGTTGCTCAGTTGAGATAAGTGCTGGGTGATTGTTGCAACACAAGGTCAAATGTAGAAACAATGCACCACTTTCATGGGAAGAGCTAAACTTCCAGAAGGAGTAGGCAGGATTGCCAGGTGGACTTTGGCTTCCCTGCACGTAAGGGAAAAAGGCAATCAAGATTATGAGGCAGCATGCAAAACGCTTTTTTTCTTCTTCTCTTGACAACTAGGTCTGTAGCCTTATGAAACTACCCAGAACTATCTCTGATTCCAGGTTATATGTCACAACTATCTATGCTAGCAATTACTTAAACATCAGTAGAAAGGATGCCTCCTCCTGAACTCCAAATCAAAAAGGTCTGAACCTGGATAGGGTTTTCTAAAGGATAGGTGAGCCACTGCCATAAAACACCCTTCCCCATTCCTTTGCACATCTTGCTTCAGTCAAAGAAGGCACACAGAGGGGGCTTTCCTCTTTCTACTTACATAAAAAGCTGTTGTTAATGCAGAGAAGTTCTGCATCATTCAAAGTCTGCCCTACTCTTTCTATATATGTTTTACATTTCTTCTTCCTCCCACAATTCTTTCTTTAGTCCATAGTCTAGTTGAATCCTTTGCCTACTCCAGAAGTTCTGTCTTTCAGAAACATGGCTTGGAAATCTTTGCTTTGCTTGTTTACACTGTAGATGTTTATTCTGTGGCTGTTCTTCAGTTGCTCTGTCTTGACTAAGGCAGGATATTGGACGTGAATTGTTGGATTGGAGCTGACCCTACAGGCTTGTTATTTTGTCCAGTTGCTTATTGATCAGCCTGTGTTCTTATCTGAACCGCTGAGTTCCTCAGAAGGCATTTCAGCCAATATTTTCTTTTTTGTATAGACTTCATTTTTTTCCTCCTGTCCTTTTCAGCTCAGAGAAGAGACTTCAACCGGGAGCAGAGATATTACAAGGTAAATTCTTGGGGAACTTAGTCACAATTTTGATCCTGGGCAATTAGTGTTTAAATTTAGGGCTTTGATACTGTGTGTATTTGAGGGAGGACCCTCATCTACAGGATCAGGAGATGCATTTTTGTGACCCAGCCTAATGCTTACCGTGTTACCATTTTGTGCGCATATGCATTTAGGTACCCCGGCTAGCCAGCTAACCTGCCATAACTTACACTTACACCTATCTTTCGATCACTTTACATTCCTGTGCTTATGTAGAAGGGTTTGGAGATGTAAGTTTATGAACACCACTTTCTGTTCTCCTGGTCACAGAGGGAGAGATTACTTTAAAACACTGTCCTCCCAGGCAGGCAAATGGCTGGAGGCTTAAAAAAACAGAAAAGAGTGAAAGCTCAAGTCCCCATTTCAGAAATACAGCTGGACTTGAAGCCAAAATGTGAGAGCAGTTTCAGCACAGAATAGCAGAGCAGAGATGAAGTTATCTGTATTTCCTGGAATGGGAGGTTACTGGGATCAGTGTGTAAGAGTGGATTGAAGTATAATTAAAAACATACCTCAGCAGTTATGCCTCATGTGGCATCTTTAGCTGTAGGACCTTCAGGAGTTGCTCATAGAAAGAAGCTTGGCTTGGAACCTTTCTGAGCTGTGGGCATCAGAGTAGTGAGAACTGGGCTTGCCTAACTGAATAAGGCAGCTTCCTTTGCTGCCCGGCAAACTAAGGTTAGAGGCCAGAGAGTATGTGGTGTTATAGTGCACCCAGTGAGGTCAGCCAGGCTGGCCAACTGGTTGCGGTTGTGGGGTCACAGTTTGGCCTTCCCTGTATCTCTCCTCCTCACCCCTACCCCTCTGCCCTTGCAGCAAGTTGGCTGTGGTTTGTGCCAAGCGTGCCAGATGTCCCAGGACTGCGGCATCTGCAGCGTGTGTGTACTACGAGCCAAGAGCCCCGAGTTCCGCATTGGCATCAAATGTCTGCTGCGTCGATGCTTGAAGATTGTCAAAAAGGTACCACCGGCTGCTCCTTGCTTATCCCTCCCTTTTGCTCTTTTCCAGTGATTCTGCTCTTCCTCTTTCTCAGCCTCCCCATCACAATTGCATTTGGAGTGGTTTCAAACCTTAACGGTCCTCTCTGTTTTTCCCCTCCCCTCCCCTCCCCTCCACAGGGCCTTGAATGTGGTATGTGCCAGGCCTGCAAGATAACTGAAGACTGTGGTAGCTGTGTTATTTGTTTGCGAAGGCAAAAGCCAGGCATGAAACGTCAGTGGAAATGCCTGAAGCGGCGCTGCCTTAAACGCAAGGTACGTGCTTTTCCTAACCAGATTTTGTGCAACTGTAGGGAGAGGAACTGAAACAGGATAGATGTGAAAGGAAAGAGAAGGGGATATCAGCCCAAGGTTGATAATTAAAGGCATGGCTAAGGGTATGTCTACAGAGAATGTGAGCCCAGATTTACATCTGGAGGACACCTGTACACCTTTGGATCAACCTGTGTGTGGCATGGAGTCCGAACGATACCCTTCAAGGCAGCCTAAAACAATTTAAAATAGGTTAAACTTAATAAATTTAAATAAAATATTACTTTATCTTACATAAACATACGAAATAGGAAAGGCCAGAATAAAAGGGATTTAACCCCAACACAAACAGCATATTGAACTGCCATTCCTTTCTGAAAGCAATATGAAGTTTTGAAGTTGGTGCCGAGTCTTCAGGGTTTAAGGAGGGAGTTTTCTAGTGGTGGGTTCATTTTGAAGCAGCATAGCAAGCAGTACTTCTTCCTTTTTCTGCAAGTATATACCCTGCCTTTCCTTTATGGTCTAAGATGGCTAACAGAATTGGAATTATAAAAGTGTAACGCATGATTGCACAAAGACTGCTCCAGCCTGCAATTCTGTCTGTCATATGGGCTTCTTAAAACTGTGCAAGGTGTCAGAAGAATCCTCCATGGCCTATTGAGACCTGATTCTGGGGTCAAAAACTGAACAAGCTAGACATATTAAGGAGTGACATTTTTGTATCAATAGATTGGATTTGTCTCTGAAGGTCTTGAAATCCTGGTCAAATCATGTTGAAGGAAACAAAGGGAAAGGTAGAAGAGACATCTGTTTGTGCCAGTATAAATTTACGCTGATTCCATTCTTCCTAATTTCTTTCTGCTCTGCCGTGCCTTCCTTCATCTTCGGTGCCACACCTTTGTTCTTGTTATGTGCTGTCAAGTAATCTCCAATTTACTGTGACCCTATGAATGAGTGCACTTCCTTATTTTCCTGTATGGTATGATGTGTGCATGACTCACTCAAAATGTGTTACGTCTTCTGCTAAATCCTTTCTCACTAGCTGTGCTGTGTAATCACTTTTCATATTATAGCCAGAATTCCTCCTTTCATCTTAGTCATTTGTGGTGAAAGAGAAACATCTTAACTAAGAAGAGTGATGTAGAATTTGAATGCTAATAAAACATGACCCTCACCTTTTAAGCACTTGGCTCCTGGATCAAGGAATAGAGAATATTGAAGAAAAAGATCTGTGAAGAGAAAAAGGATATGTTGGATCCTCTCTGGCTCTGTACAGTATCTGCACTTGGAGGTTGTATATGCTGTGAACCGCATGCACTCGATCCTTTGATTAGAGATGTCCCAAAACCTGTGAAAGCATGCATTTTCCTTGTCAACAGCTTTATGGGGGCACACAAAGGATTAAAGCCATTCCTGAGATTGTGGTTATACTCTTGGGATTCTTCTTAGTTATATGTACATAAAGGCAAAGATGATGTATCACAGTATAGCTTGCCTTCTAAGATGTGAGAGCCATTGAAGTAATGTTTCCCAACTTTCAAAATTGATGAGAATCCTTCATGTAGAAATATTGCATGGGTGGGTTTGTCTTACTGATGAGATGCTTTCATGAGATGGGGGAAATGTCTTTCATTGTGTTGCTCCATGGCTATATGACAAAAGGATGTTTAAGAGGACATTTCCAATGGTCAGGTTGAAAAGTTTCATCGCTCTCAAACTCCCTGCCTTGACCTATGGATCTAAATATAGTCAGTTTACCAATAGCTCATGAGTCATCCTCTTCTTGCCTTTTTTGTGAGATGAATGTCTGTTGTATATTGTGAAATGAGTCTTTGTTCAGAAGTTCTCTTAGAATTATCTTTCTTATGTGGGTGGCTCTTGACAACCTTGTTAACAGAGTCCTTTCAGTTTCCTCTGAGAACAAAACGCCATTTCAGTGTAGAAAAGATTCATTTCCTAGAAATGGACATATGGGCTTTGAAATTTGCCAGGAATCATCCTTTTGAGTCAACTTCTTAAAATCTGACCTTAAAAATATTCAGTATAGGGCTTACACATGTGTTGATTCAAGCATACAATATATTCAGAATCATACCAAGTTAATCCACACACTGTCAGGATCTGAAGCCTTGACACAGTTCCCCCTGCTTAAGTTTGGGAAAGGCAGCATGATTCACTGTAAGTGCCTGCAGGATGAGGCTCAAACCTATAAGTATGTTCAAAGATTGAAGCCTGTGCAATTATGTGGCACAATTGGGAGGTCTGAAAACCTGTATTAAAGCCTTCCTTGCAGTGCTTAACTTGGTCACAGCACATGGCTTTTGTGGTGGCTGCTTTGCATTCCTGATCCTGCATCTAACCTTGTCTTAGCAACTGTCTGCCTTTGCCTTTGTTCTGACTCTGCCTTGCCAGGCAGACCTGAACCTTGCTTTTGCCTCTGCATCTGCTGCATCTTGCCAGGTAGTTGATCCTTGCCCATTTTTGACCTTCCCTTTGTCTCCAGTTCTGCCGTGCCCCGTCAATATCTAGACTTTGCCTGTTTTTCTTTGCTTCTGGATTTGCCATGCCTTCTTGGAATCTTCCTCCATTTTTCCTGGTGCTCCCTTTGCCTCTGGACTTGCCATGCCTTGCTGGATACCTTGCCCTTGCTTGTTCCTGACATTGCCTACTGCAGCAGTGCCAAGATTTCCATCTACCTCCATCATCCTGGTCAAGGAGTTCCAGCCATAGACAGCTACTGTCTGTGTCTGAGATCTGATACACACCTCCTTAAGAAACATGGATTTTTTTGTTGGAGTTGCTCCAGATATGTATACTTTAATTCTTCTAAATTCTTTAGAGAACCTAGGGCTCCATGCCTTCAATAGCCTATGGGAAAAAATAGCATGGGGGAAAGAACTCTGTGCCAGAGGAGAAATTAGAACCCATAAATCTTCTAGCTTGTTGCTCATCCAGTGAGGCTAATTCTAAGTCTTCTTGTAGGCCAAGGGGAGTTGGTGCTGTGAGCTGGCTTCCATGTTGAAAATAAGCTTTTTTATCATTTTGATTCCTTAGCTTATCTTCTGGAGAAAGGGATAGATGCTCCAAAAAGAATCAAAACTTCTTGTGCATTCTTAACTACTTACTGTTTTGTAGTACCAAAGATCAGTCTGATTCTTATCCATTTTCCCAGCATGCCTTAGCAGCTCCCAGGTCCTGTCCAGATGCTTACTGCTACTTTCTGTGGCATCTTTTAAAATGGACCAAACCAACAAGGGATGATTAAATTGCAGAAAAGCATCTGCCATTGCATCTGGCCATGTCTAATCATTCAGTTTCATTGGAGAAACTAATCTAGATATCAGCATGAGTGAGATATTTTCTTCCTTTACTCACCATTGGAGGCCCTTTTTCATGTAGACAAGCCTGCTGAATCAGTTCATGAGAATTGCTGGCTATCTTGTGACATAGGTGCTAGGTGCAAACTGAGACTGTGCCTTAGTACTCTGCATACTCTTACTTGCAGCTGCTTATTGCAGGACAAAATGATTTATGCTGCTTCATAAAATGCTGCCAAACTACCAAGGAAGACCAGGTTTGCCATTCGGAAAACAACCCTTTCCCCTAAAGGGTGGTGGGGTGGGCACTGGTGTTCTTTCCAGGAAGACCTTCTCCCTTCTTCTCTGGGTTCTGTTTTCTATGGCTCCAGGTAGGCGGCCTTTCTCTAACTTAGACCCTTTCAGATGTTTTGGGCTACAGTTCCTAGAATTCCTAACTATTGGGCATTCTGGCTGGGTGATTGTCCAAAGTCTCTGGACGGCATCAGAGAGCTTTATTTATGTATTTATTTTGCATTTATATGCTGCCCCCACTCCTAATGGAGTCATGCTTTAAGACATGAGCATGCTGGAACCTTTATCTCTATTTTTGTGTGTATAAAGTTAATATTAATCTGGATTAGCAAATCATGCTCCAAAGATATATCAATACACAGTTTATTATTATTTGACTTTATTAATCTCATATCCATGGAATTGAAACATCATGGGTGTTTCTGAATTTTCTGTTTTGAAAGAGGAATGGGACTCATCCCTTGCTGAGGAACTGAATAGACAGTTAACCATACACTGTTTGCTAATGCCTTTGAAATGGCAGAAGCCGTAAAATGTTCTCATAAATGCTAAGCTTTGCATAGTCCCTTGGTTGATTTGAAGGTAGTACCAATAAATATTGGCAAGTTGGCAGCTAACTTTTATTTTTGTGGTAACGGATCAGATATGAGATACTGAATACTGAAACCCCTCACCTCTACTGCCAGATATGATGCCTTCCAACTACAGTAAAAAATATTTTGAGTAATATCTTCAAATAAGCTGTTCTCACCATTCTCATAGCAAACAAGCTGATCTTGTGGTGTAGCCATCAACTGTAGTATCTTCCAAGGTTCTTTGGTTTATTCCTGAATTCAAGGCTCAACCTAGAGCAAAATAGTGACCGAGTATGGCTTGATCTTGCATGCTTGCCAATATAATGATGCTACCATACTCTGGTGCCTTTACTCCACTGACTTGAAATACTGGGCTTTGCTTTTATGGATCATCTTTTATTCTTTGAGGTGTGCTTTATTTTTACTTCCAAGAGTTCTGCTGCTGCCTCACTGATATTCTGGACCATTCAGAATGAATCAAGAGTTCCTCTGTTTACAGCAACATAGCAAATCTGATTCCTGAGCATATGTGTTGATGGTTTTATGAGCAGTGTTAAAGCAGTCTAAACACATCACCTACTTAGGGCAGTGAAATTCTGTGGGAGGACCAAAAAAGTGTAGAATGTTGTGCTTAGGTCAGCACTCAGTTATCTGAGAATCCCAACTTTATTTTTTCTTAGAGAAGTAAGTTTCTAGCCCTTAAAACCACAAAATTATATTTGGAAGTGTATTGGCAATGTTTGGTGAAATCTCAGAAGCTGCAGAGGAAGCTGACAGTGCGTTCCTTTTGATGTATACTCATAAGTAAGTCTCATTTAGGTGAGTGGTGCTTACTGCCAGGTAAGTACTGTAGAATTGTCTGGTTGGGACTATTGCATGCAATTTTATTAATCAAATAAACAAATAAATAGAATTGAAGTCCCAGTAAAATTTCCAGTGCTTATAATGTTGGGACTCTGTGTAATTATTTGCCTCCAAGCATGATGAGGATGCCCTAAATAAACTGGACCCAGTAAACTACAATATAGATGTAAGCAGTGTGTACTCCTTATATGTGTTGTTTGGTTAGCCTTTCCTGGTAGGAATTTTAGTTTTTTTCATGCTTGGTGCAGCATCTCCATGGCCCTGAGGATGCTGTGGCATCTTCTGAATCACGCCCTTCCTAGAATGCTGGGCTTCTGCTTCCTGCTGCAAACCAACCTGGGAAATGTCTGTGTGAGCTGAGATTTGTACCAATCCTGAATGGTGTGGTTCCCTGTAGCTCTGGCACTAACCAGCTCTTGATCCTTCCAGAAAAAAATCTCCCCCAAGAAGGATGGCTACGGCTCCAAGAAGCTGACAGTAGTAAGTATCTGCTGTGTTGCCTTTTCTGGGCTTGGCATCACCTTGCTAGCTCCATTGCTTTCCAAGTGGTCTTCCCATTCCATGTGCATCATTCCATTGCTTGACATGTGCCATCTTTGCTTCTGATAAACATTTCTTTTGCTGCTGGCATGCTTTTCTTTCTTGTTCATTCACTTCTCACGTGGGTGAGAGTCGTTCTGCAGCCTGGCAGGCAGGATGATGTTGGAGCTTCCTTCTCCCTAGCAGCAGCAGCAGCAATGGCAGTGGTGGCATGCTGACTTGGAGGTTTCTCTGTTGTCGATGGCTCTGCAGGGTGATGTGCAGCTGACAGGGAGTTAGGGCGGAGGCCTTGTGCATGGCTTTCTTTGGATCTGTGAGTTGTTCCTAGGGAGGTACCTTCTTGATGAAGGTGGAGGCACCTTTATCTTTCCAAACTGGGTGCTGTGCCTAATGGCCTTTCCTGGCTCTTTCTCGGTTGGCACCAGGAAGCAGCCTCTCCCAAGGATGTCTTCACCCCAGCACGACGCCAGCGCCAGAAGAAGCCAGCATCAGCAACAGTGAGTGGCACCCATTCTATATGTGGTTCAACAAGAGGGCAATTGGTATACACATCATCTGCAGCAGCAACTGGGTACCCTCTGGAGGTTGTGGACAACTTCAGCTCCCATCAGCTTCAGCCAGCTTTCCCTGTGTTCAAGAATGTCAGGAGTTGTAGACCAAAACACTCAAGAGTCAGCAGGTTGGGGAAGGTGGATTTGCTGGGTTTTATGTTCCTTCTCTGCCTACTAGTCAAAGGCTTGGAATTAGGGAAGAGAATGCTGAGAGCTAGAGTTTAATCTGGGCAAGGGAGGCCTAGTTTTGAATAACCAAATCTGTTCTTCCAGTGTAACTCACCTTTCAGGGTTGTTGGAATAAGGTGAGTTACCACCCTGAGCTTCTTAGAGAATTGTAGGTTATAATCTGAGCAATTCATGCCTGGTGTGAAAAGTCTTCACTGCTCCTTTAGGCTTGTGCATCTTTATCTGTCGCTCTTTTTCCCCTCTGCTCTGTCTGCCAGGACGGGCCTCCACCCGAGGCCCAGCAGCCCTCAAGGCAGCACCAAAAGAGGCTTTCAGCAGCACCACCGGTGTCCACAGTGAGTGGGGGCAGGGGGTAAAATAATGCAACCAGAGGCTTTGTGTAACTGTTTGTCCTGGCTGGGCTAAAGTGAAGGGAGCTATTTCCCAGAATGTCAGCATGTGCTCATCAGGGCTTCCATTCTGTGTTCAGTTTGGGTATTACTTTCAGGAGAGTAAAGATAGGAACTCCTGTAGGCTGATCACTGCCATTTCATTATTTAATGAGGGGCTCGTCATGCAGTTTGCAGGAATGGAAATTTGGACGTTGCTGTTTGCAATCCACTTTTGCTTGCTCTTTGTGAAATAAGTAGAGCAGAAATGGCCAACCTGCTCTGGCAACTGTGCTGTCCATCAGGTATGGAATGGTGATGTTCTAGTGCAAGTCACAGAAAATGTACTTAAGAAGGATCAGACCCAGAGCCAGACACGACAGGCAGGACATGACTGTAGTGGCACCCTCACATCCATGCTCCTCTGCAACTAATAAATGTGGGCATTTGGTATCTGCTGGTACCATCAGAACTAGTTGCCCTCAATATCCTTCACCTCTGTGAATTTGCCCAACCCCTTCAAAATTTGTGGCCATCTCTGAACCCGTAGAACTGAATTCCACAGCATGCCTTTAACTGTGTGAAGAAGTACTTCCTTTCCTCTTTCCTGAATTTCCTCCAAGGCAGCCTCATGGGGTGGTTTTACTTCTTGTCTACTGAGTCAGACAGCAGGTGCCAGCACCATGCTGGAGAGGCAGGCAAGCAGGAATGAAACAGGATGGTCTCCAGGATGGTTACCTGAAGGAGCGCTTACATCCTTATATGCCCAGCCGCCCCCTGAGATTGGCGGGAGAGGCCCTTCTCCGGGAACCCTCCGTGGAAGAAGTTAGGAGGGTGGTTACTCGGAGGAGGGCTTTCTCAGCAGTGGTGCCTAAGTTATGGAATGCGCTCCCCAGAGAGGTCCGCCTGGCACCGTCGTTATTTGTTTTTCGGCGCCAGGCGAAGTCCTTTTTATTTAAGCAGTATTTTAAATGTTAATATTATTGAATTTTATTCGGCCAGGGCGGCTTGTTTTATATTGTATGTTTTATATTATATATTTGTATTTTACTGTATATATTTTAAAATGTTATTTTAATTTTTTGTTGTAAGCCGCCCCGAGGCTTCGGCGAATGGGGCAGCATAAAAATGTTTTAATAAATAAATAAATAATAAGGCCGGCCATTGACTCTTGCCATCAGTTGAGCACTCTGGCAAGTTTATTGTCCTGTGTAAGAATCTGTGCGCTCTGAAAGTACTGTGAAGTTGTGTATTAACAATACAACAGAAAGGGACAAAGAACTGATGAGCAGCATTAAATGCCAGCAGAAGCAGTTAGGATTGGGATGGAATGCCAAAGGGAGGGAGGGAGAGAGAGTTGAGAAATCGGGGGCTACAAAATGCCTTGCAAAAACATGGAGAATGGCAGGGTCCCACTCTGCCCTGTATCTTGTCCACATAAAACCCTTCTATGGGGGTCTTGCACTGTCCATCCCTTAGACAAGCCTTCCCCAATCAGGTGTTCCTCACATGTGTAGGACTGTGGCTTCCATCATCCCTAGCGAGCAGGATCATTGGCAGTCATAGCGCAACTCCTCGGCTAGTGTGGGACACCACACCTCCACCTTGAGTTTGTATTTGTGCAGCAGATGTCATCCTTCTGTGTGAGATTTACTGGACTGAAAGATGTGCACTTGCCCTGTAACGCAAGCATTCCCTTTCCACCTTCCTGCTTAAGCATTTGAGAGCTATGCGGGCTCCTCTTTTTGCTTCCCTGTCCTGAGCTTTCATATGAGGTCCCCTTCTGAAATCTCAGAGTGCTTGGGCTGCTTTCATGTCTTCTATTTCTTTCTTTCCTTCCTTCATTTCTTTGACTGCCAGGAAGGGCCCCTTCCAAAGGCCCAGCCAGCCCCACGCTGCCGCCGCTGGAAGTGCTCTGCTACCACAGTGAGTGGCTTGTGTGTTGCAAGGATGCATGTGTTATTGGTGTGGGCTTTGGGGCGGGTGGACAGATAGAGTGCCAGTGGAGTGCAGCTCATGTACCTGGGTGGGCTTTCTTTGGTTGTGTTTTACAAGAGGAAAGTGAGGTGTTTCCATTGGCTTGTGGACATGTATATTTGCAGCCTTGTATGTGTGAGAAGAGTACTAAGGGCTGCATTGATTTCTCCCAGTATGAGCTTATATTCATGTAGTCCCTACTTTCCTATTTCGGCATCCCAGTACAGATTATGAGCACTTGAACTGCTCTTTCTGCTGGTCATAATTTTTAGTCATGTACGGTGTGCAGATGCTCTGCATCAGTGAACTGGGGATGGTTTTGAAATTGGAATGAGTTTGACAACAAATATGCAGAATAAATCATAAGACCAAAAAGTCCTGAAATCAAATTTATGGGAAACTGCCTGCTTCACACAATATTTTCTTGGTGCAGAACTTTAGGGAGTTTTTGTGCCAGATAGACAGGCAAGATTTCTGGAAATTGTGAAGTCATGAGGAATACTATTTTGAAGGAGGGAGAAAGGGTATGAAATACTTATGCAGGACCAAAGTGATTTGCATAAAATAAGCCTATGCCTGTTTGACTAGAGGTAAGATGCACTGTTTAGTCAAGCTTACTCCTAGGTAAGCATGCATAAGACTGCAACCTCAAAAGTAAAAAGGACTTACTGTGCAACCCCGTATGTGTTTACTCAGAAGGAAGTCCCCCTGAGTTCTTTGGGACTTACTCCCAGGCAAGTGAATAAAAGATTGCAGTCTTATCATTGTTGGAACAAAATTGTGAATATGCTGCAAACAAGTGAGAGCCACAAAGTAGTGCAGCTTATGCTGCCTAAGTACATGTGTCTTAGTTTGGTATCTGGAAAATGGTTGAATGGGTGTTGAAAATCTACTTTCTTTTTTGTAGGAAGCAAAGGAATATGTGTAGTATTAAGGACTAGCAACATATTAAGAACTATGGATATCTAGTTAAAACCATTTAATGATACCAAAAATATTAAACTGTGCAGTATATACAGGAGTTACCATCCTATAGTTTATTCCAAAACATAAGTTATTCCAGAATCTTTTTTCAGTGTTCTCCCAAGTTTTCACTTTTCCTTAAAAAAAAGTCCTTGGGCAGGAAGAATCCTAATTTTTCAGCCCCCTACCCCCAAGCATTCAAATCTGTTAGTGGCAGATTGCATATTCTCTTTGCAAACTTAGAAGTCAGGTTGTGAGGTTCTTTTGTTTTGAATGGCTTTGTCATGATTTCCTTCTGAGTCCTTTGGAAGAATGATGCAGTTGATTGCTTTTTGATGCTCTTGCTTTTCGGTTGTTTTTTAAAGAATTGAATTTGTCTAGTTAGGTAAGAATTAGGGAAGGCAGCTCAGCCCTGCTTCAAAACTTTTTTTCCTTGATCGCTTCCACAGCCTTGCTTTGCTAATGTATAGGTTTCTCATATGCTACAATCCAGATAATTTATTTTTTCTTTGCTGACTGAGCTACCTTTCTTTGTTTCCTTTCTTAATCTAGAAATGGAAACCTGCCATGGAACGAGATCCTGGAGGGAGCCCTATTGTAAGGCACAGGGTAAGTAGAAGAGTTGTCTCTTCCTATATGGTGTTGTACCTACAGGGACTATTTTACACACATCCAAAGCAATGTGGATAAATTTGTTGTTGTTGTTAGTCGCGAAGTCGTGTCCGACCCATTGTGACCCCATGGACAACATTCCTCCAGGCCTTCCTGTCCTCTTCCATTCCCCGGAGTCCACCTAAGCTCACACCAACTGCTTCAGTGACTCCATCTAGCCGCATCATTCTCTGCCATCCCCTTCTTCTTTTGCCATCTATTGTTCCCAGCATTAGGCTCTTCTCCAGGGAGTCCTTCCTTCTCATTAGGTGGCCAAAGTATTTGAGTTTCATCTTCAGTATCTGGCCTTCTAAAGAGCAGTCAGGGTTGATCTCCTCTAGGACTGACCGGTTTGATTGCCTTGTGGTCCAAGGGACTCGCAAGGGTCTCCTCCAGTACCACAATTCATAGGCCTCAATCCTTTTGCGCTCAGCCTTCCTTATGGTCCAGCTTTCACAGCCATACATTGCAACTGGGAAAACCATAGCCTTGACTATTCGCACTTTTGTTGGCAGGGTGATGTCTCTGCTTTTTAGTATGCTGTCTAGATTTGCCATAGCTTTCCTCCCAAGGAGCAAGCGCCTCAATCCTGGTCTGGTACTCCCCATCACCTTAAGAACTTGCCACAATTTGTTGTGATCCACACAATCAAAGGCTTTAGCATAGTCAATGAAACAGAAGTAGATGTTTTTCTGGAACTCCCTAGCTTTCTCCATGATCCAGCGTATGTTGGCAATTTGATCTCTAGTTCCTCTCCCTCCTCAAAATCCTACAAGCTAGGCTCCAGCAGTATGTGGACCAAGAACTACCAGAAGTACAGGCAGGATTTTGAAGAGGGAGA